TTGTTTCCAAAATATCCCGCTATTTGGGAAATAGCAGGCTAATATGCGCCTGTCCGAGCTAGTTTGTGAAGAGGGTATCGATCTGGTGAAGACGTAATTTCGAGCTTCGGGATAATATCTCAAGTCTGAAATTAGCGGGTTATTTGGCAAAATTGAGCTGATGAAAACAGACCTTATATTGGATGTAGACTTACTGTTCAAATGCATTTGTGTACATTGGAAACATGGCTTCAGCAATTGATGATGTCTCTATTTACTGTAGATTTGTGATAAGATATACGGGGCATGTTCCTTTGGCTTAATCCTTGCTGTGCTGTCGGTAGCAATCAAGTTAAAGAATGTCAGAAAAACTGGATTTTATTGCCCCATAGAAAAAATATATATTTATAATCTGATGGTAATTCCCTTGGGAGGTGGTTTGTGCCCAAGGTATTAAAGGTATTACAAAGTTTTGGTATATGGTCATGAATTTGGTTCAAATGAACATATTGGAAGCATATGCGATCTTACAATATTTAATGATCGATGTCACGGTTGCAATCGAGTCTAAAGTTATGAAATTGTAAATAATAAACTCTTTATGTTGTACATGTATATCTCCCTCTCAAGGTCAAGATATTAATTAAGCTATGAAACAATGTTTCTTGACTATAATCGACCGATTAGCTATTTCCGTTTGGAAAGTATATCCCAACTACATATTTTGAGATTTTCATGTCGCAGCTACCATTGTACGGCCGTGGGCCCTATTTGAAAATATACCGGGAGCACCGGTAAATTTTTATATATTCAATTTTTCTCGAAAATAGAATGGTTTTAGTGGCTAAAATTTTTAGTGCTTATAATACATCCTCAGGGGCATCTTAACATATCATTAATTCAATAATTCATTCAATCATTAATTCAATATATCAATAATTCTACAGAATCACTATCCACCCAATTTTCAAAATTTCCCAAAACTTTGTATTAACTTTAAAAAAGTCCCTGTGTATCTTGAATATGATGATCAACTGCAAGAGATACAAATCATAAAATGAATAGCCTTTAAAAAAATATCTGAAACTTTGAACTTGATTTGTTTACTCAGAGGTGGGTATATTTGCTCTTCGACTTGAAATTTAGACTTCTTTTGTGCAAGATTACACACATGTTTTCTATTAAACAAAATAAGAGGAATGCCCACGTACAGTGTAGCCTTTTTTTCAAAATGATTGATGTATTCATTTGTATTGTGCCATTTGTGAAGGGTGCAGCCAATACTCATTGCCTATGAAATGAGCACTGTTTAGCCCACATGGGGAGGAGGAGGGAGGGGGTAAATTGATGACACTGTGTGAGAGAGAGAGAGAGAGAGAGAGAGAAAGAGAGAAAGAGAGAAAAATTATAAGTGGGTATAAACATTGTTCTTGTACTTGAAACATCCCAGCTAGACCACAGACTTGTTTAGACCAAAATAGACCACACATCTTATTTGCACTATTACCTGTATCAGCCTACTGTGTACTTTTGGAATGGATGAATGAAAAGTCCTCTGTTAAAAGCCAGAAGGGCGTTAACTCTGCTTTCAAGTAATGCTACATTTACCGTTTTTGACAACATATTTTCTCCATACACATGTACATGTACATGTACATGTAGATGCAGGCCTACAGCACAACCCGTTTACAAAGACCACCTGCCTAGAGTGGCCATTTGTTCGATCTATTTAAAGGGTAGTCATTATATTTGTTGCCAGGTTTGTAAATTGTAGATTATCCTTACAACTTTAATAGGATGGATTAACTTTGAGTGTGAACAGCCCATTGCAAGGCTAGTATTCATGACAAGAGTCAGTGCAATATGATACAAGTCAACCAGTATTCATTGCATGCTGGAAGGGCTGTGTTCTCACCTTGGGAATGTTGACTACAATAGAGCATTGTTGAAAAGTACATGTGTAATTAGTATGATTTTAGAGGGATTTAACTTTGAGCGTGAACAAGGTCATTGTGAGGCTGGCATACATGACAAGAGTCAGTGCAACATGACACAAGTCAAACAGTATTCATTGCATCCTAGAAGGGTTGTGTTCCCACTTTGGAGATTAACTACAATAGAATATTGTTAAAGAGAAGTTCACCCCTTGGTCGTTACTGCTTCGTTAGCTGCGAGTTGGTGCCAAATTACTTTTGTAGTTTTGTATTAATACAATGGACCCACACACATCAATGCAGTTCAATGGAAAAGGGTGGATTCCATTGAATGCGGACAAGAGAAGAAAAAAGAGAAGAGTAATTAGCTAGGTTCGCCCAAAATTTTGTAAATGTTCAACTTCGTCTTCTTTTATTAATTAATACTGTGATGGCTCAGTGAATGCAAATTCTTCTTAGGGGTCATTGTTTTAAACTTTGAAAACTTGTTGTTTGGGTCCCATGTGAACTCAAGTTGTGTTTAATAGTGGGTCATTTGAGCTTTAGCTACACTGTAAAGTTAAACTTAAAGTCGAAAACTACCAGTACATGTGTGCGATGTTACATGTATGATGCGAACATTGCTACATTATCTATAGTTTAAGCAAAATACAGTACAATGTTGAAAGCCTTGACCCAAAATGTGGGCACAGCGCTTTTCAGATGTGAACTTTGATACATGACAAATATTCATCTTCATCTCAATAAATGCAACAATTAAGGTATTATATTGAATGAATGATCGAAGAGAATTAAATATTTGTGCATTACAGCAAATTTAACTCGGATAATTCCACGAACGAAATGACACAAAAGAGGGGTTAAAAAAAGACCTGCATGAATTTTGACTGCCCACGTTTTGTATGTTCTTGCTTTATGTCAGTGCAAAGTCTACTCCTACAGGGTGTCCAGAAAAAAAAAAAAAAATTGTTTCATTACATTTTATTTATATATTTCCACATCAAGATAACAATAATAATAATCTTACAAATACAAATATGCAATATTTGAAGTAGGAGTATCATTAAAAGCACATACAAAAAATGATCCTCACAAAACATACAGAATAACAATAACTTTGATATACAATTTACATAAAATCAAGATTACAAAAAAAGGGGGGGGGGCAGATAAAGAAAATAAATAATGAATTACAAGCAAAAGGTGATATAAAAAAGAACAAACAAAAATACTTTGAAACTTATTTTCCTTCATTTTCTTGATACATGTAGTTTCCAAAATATCCTAATAAAATACATTGAAAATGACAGCCCAATTGAACAATTTCTTCATTTTATTTATTTGTTTTATTTTTGGTGTCTTGTACACTGTCGATCATTAGACAGCTCAATTCAGCTCAATCCTAATTTTTCTTTTCTTTTGTTGAGACACCTTATACTACTTAGCACCTATACATTTAGACCTCTAAAAGTATTTACAATGCGTTGGTTGATAGCTGTTTCCCTGTTGACTTTGCACTATAATGCAAGAAATTACTAATGCATGCTGTATATTACACCCAGCATGACATCACCGCTGCATAACTTGCCCCGTTAATTTTAACCCTGCGCGACAAAAGTTAAAAATGGCTGGCAAATAATTGGGGTCCTACAGTCATATATAAGTGAGACACTTTGCCAAAGGGTGTTTACTTTGGGACATATGAGCTGTTACCTTTTCATACATTGTGTATTTACTTGGTCATGTACAAATAACCTGAGGGATGTATTTAGCTAATGAAAAGTGATATTTAATACCATGTTACATGTAAATAGAACCTTTTGTTTTTCTAGCTATTGTGTGATACGCCCCAAAATAGTTTTTTCTTTTTCTTTGAAACTTTGATTACACATTCAAAACTGCCTTGGCAACTACATGTGTTGAAAGACTGCATGTCTGTATAGATCACAATCCCCCTCACTCAAATAGTGTGTTCATTGCAACTTTTCTTTTAATAAACCAACATACAGTCAAACTTGCTTTAGTGACCACCTGTCTACAAAGATTACATTTTTTGTTTCCCTTGAAAATGGTTTCATGTACTTTAGGCACCTGTACATAAAGACCACCTGTATATAAAGACCACTTTTATTGTCTCCCTTGGGTGGTCTTTATAGACAGGTTTCACTGTATATGGACTGGACAAGAGAAACAAGACACATGCATAATTTCCCCAACTTGAAGCTGCTGGTATTGACTATAAAAGTACCGGTATATGAAAACAAGCTCTATTGCTAACTTGCGATAGTGCTATTTTTTCTTCTGGATTTTACATGGTTTCATATGAGAAAAAAATACAAGTCTTACTCTTCTCATCAAAGATAAATATCATGTACACTGAAACCTGTTTATAAAAACCACCCAAGGGAGACAAGAAAAGTGGTCTTTATAGGCAGGTGGTCTTTATGTACAGGTTCCTTTAGTACATGTTTCGATGAGAAACCATTTTCAAGGGAAACCACAAAATTGGTCTTTGTAGACAGGTGGTTACTATTTTTTGACTGTACTTGGATGATATTCAGGTGAAACAGCACTTTCCCTGGTGGCATTTGCTTTTATTTTGTCAAAAATATGGAGTCTAGATTAGGGAAGTTGTGATTGGTTTATACATGTAGGTTAGGTTTACAGTTTTATATCTACATCTATGTTTAGGGTTAGGGTTAGACATGGTGTTTGGGGTGAGGGTTGAAATTAGGAAGTTAGATAGTGTCATAAATTTACTGTCTAGCAATTGTTGCTGGAGCATGTGGATCAGTTTCTAGATGAGTTGATGCAAATTTCTAGATGAATCAATGCTAATTTAATATGTAACACCCTTTTTTAACAAATATTATCTATTTTTACTTATCTGAAGGGACTCGCAAGCCAGGTCACTAATAGATCGACCGCAATCTACTATTGCACACCTATTTTTTTCTTCTCACAAAGACTAAAATCGACTTTAAGTTGGACTTAACTATGGCAGGCCATTCTTAGTAATCCAGTTTGTTATGTTACATCTCACATCTAATTTCTAAATATTACTCTCCGTTTCTTCTCGCCTCGTAGGATCAGCGGCCCAACTAGCCGGCCTATGCACGGGGGACAGAGTCATCGAAGTCAATGGCACCAACATCGAACGCGAAACACACACACAGGTGGTCTCCCGGATCAAGGCCGGGGGCAGCTCAACCATCCTGCTCGTAGTCGACAAAGAACTCGATAGATACTGCCGGAACAACAGCATCACGATAAAAGCGAGCATGGCGGATGGTGGCGTGGGGGAGGATTCGCCACGTGTGAACGGCGACCATCTGGAGTCGGAGGGTATGGTCCCCATGAACGGGGACGCCAGTGGTATGGGGGGTCATGAGGTCATCGAGGCGAGCATAGAGGAGCACCAGGAGTCGGCACCAGAAAGGCAGGAGGAGGAGGAGGAAGACGAGCATCCGTACGCGGAGGTGGAGAGGAGGCAGGAGCAAGAGGATGAGGATGAAGTGGATGAGCAGTTTGCGGCGGTCTTGGCGGGTGCGACGATAGAGGATGGAGAGAGGAGAGAAGTAGAGGAGGATGATGTCGTCCAGGCAGAGGAGGTGACGATGGAAGAAAGCGTTCCA